ATTTCACTTTTTTGGGCCTGCAAATTAAATGTTTAATAGGAGTAGATAGGTTCACCTATTGTCCGGTTCACACATCTCTCCGGGTTTTTTTTAACAAGAAACAAGGTTTATCTTTTGTTTAGGATTGGGTTTCCGGTTCCTTTTAAAGTCTACTTCAACTCTATACTTCTAACGTCTCCACCTAAACACTGAAATTTTATTTACTATGTATTTTCCTCAAAAGGAGTAGATAGGTTCGCCTATCATCTGGCTCACACACCTCTCCAGTCTTCTGAACAGGAGTAGAGGTTTATCACTTGTTTCCTGTTTAGATTTGGCGTTTCTGTTCCTTTTAAAGTCTACTTCAACTCTATACTTCTAACGTCTCCACCTAAACACTGAAATTTTATTTACTATGTATTTTCCTCAAAAGGAGTAGATAGGTTCGCCTATCATCTGGCTCACACACCACTCCAGTCTTCTGAACAGGAGTAGAGGTTTATCACTTGTTTCCTGTTTAGATTTGGCGTTTCTGTTCCTTTTAAAGTCTACTTCAACTCTATACTTCTAACGTCTCCGTCTACACTCAGAAATTTTATTTACTATTTATTTTCCTCAATAGGAGTAGATCGGTTCGCCTATCGTCACACTCCTTCCCAGTCTTTTGAACAGGAGTAGAGGTTTGTTTTCTGTTTAGAATTGGATTTCCGATTTCTCCACAAGTCTTCTCATTCTCTTTAACTCCCAGTAAGCCCTTGTGTCTTAGTGGCATTATCGCCTTTCTTGGGGTTAATTGTTATTTAAAAAAAAATAAAAACTTAAGGTAGTTTTAACACACAATATATTCTAACCTGCGCCTTAATCTCCGTCCAATCTTATCCGAAAGGACGTGGTCTTTGCTTCTGTTCCAGACACCATCAGTGATTATTATTTGCGACAGAAACATGATCGAAGACTGAAGAAAGCTCCAGTCCAAACGTGAAGATCGAAACAGCTAAACCGACATATAAGAATAATTCATGAAATGAAATAAGTAAAGCATTTAATTAGTATACGACAATAAATACGTAGATTGCTCCTGTCGTCTCTCGTATTGACCACCAGCAAAATGTCACCAGGAAAGGTCAACAGGAAAAATCAACAGGAAATCAAATGCTTAATCACAACTTTACTGACAGTTACAAATGAAACCCTGGAATATAGGAACATAAATATCTCAGTCGTGCCTACCATACTTAGTGCAAATGACAACTCACCAAGTAAATAAGATAATCGAAAAGTTTCAACAAATAGAAACCTTCAGGAATGCAGGTGTGAATTCAGTTGCGGAATTTTAGAGCATCATGAAAACTGTTATAAAACGCCGGATGGTGGAAACATTTGAAACCATGATGGCTTCAATACAATTACTCGGATGCAATGCAGATCTAATTTACCTCGAACAAACGAGGTTTTAAAAATACGCCACTAGTGTGCATGAAAATGTACAATCATGTACAGAAATATTTTGTCCCCCATGATCACTAAATTGGGGACAGTTGCTTAACTTCTTATTATCTATCTGTGATTATATTGCCTACAAACTCGAAAAGAAAATAATGGCATGTTGACATTCCACACTACTTCAAATAAAAAGTTAGGAAGGAAACCGCCATCAATACTGGAAAGAGCGATAACAGCGACTGGACTTTGTCACATACATCAATGTGTATCCCTGACGTTGTTGTTCTTAATGTAATAGAGATTTCTGACTTTGGAATGATCCCCCACCCCACGACTGTTCAGCAAGTCAAGCAATATTTTCAAGGGGCTCCAAGATTACTACAATAGTGACTTCGATCCTCACAGTGTTCAAAAAACGTGTTACATTGTGCTATACAAAGCTGTAGAATATAATTAATGATTTTATAGCCGTTGGGGAATGATTATCAAACTAGTTTCAATGACCATTACTATTGTAGGGGGTTCGACGATCACTAGTGCGCCACCTTATAGACATGTGCCAAACCAAAATAAGCTTTGAAAATCTCTCTCTCTCTCTCTCTCTATATATATATATATATATATATATATATATATATATATATAACTTTGAATGAAAAATTATTGTTATTTGACGAATTTGTTGGTTCGCACCAAATATCTGCTAGTTATATCTGTAGATTGTGTGACAATGAGTCTCCTCAAATCGCCAGAAACTTTCTTAGAATCTGCGCATCTTTCATGTATTTTTATGCTTACAACAGATGGTCGAGTTCCTGTTGTACGTCTACAAATTGGTGACACTAAATCAAATGCGAAAATTTCCTTTTCTAAAATTTCCTTCTTCGACTTAAGAATTATTATTCTCGAATCAAAGATACTTCAACGATTACATTCAGAATCACGCATCCAATTCTTGCAGCTTTTAATTCATATTTTAATAATGATGAAATCCGCGCTTTCAATAGATTGAAATGTAAAAAGAAGACTTACTTATCATAATGTTCATTGTCACATAAACAATGAAAGAATTCCTGGAACTTCTTCTTAGAGTCTGAATCCAGAACCGCTGCCAAAGACCAAAGTAAGGCAAACATAAAATGTGAAACCAACATATTGGCCCTCTCCTCCAAAACCTTACTCTCGCTCGTGAAAAATACTTCTCCGTCTGCTTCTTCTAGTTCTCCGTCATTGTCCTCTTTCTCTCCAAGGTTTCTGGATAGGAACAGTATTACAAAGATAATAGTATTAAAACTGAATGCTCCAATATTTATTAATTACTATTAAGTTAATAGATTCACAAACATTGGAAAAAGTTCTAATGTTTCGATCGAAGAATTTACGCGTACCTTTTCAATTCCGAGTATGTACCAAGCAAATGTTAACCTTTAACAACAATCATTTAAATTCTTTCCAGATGATTCTAAGAGATTATATTTCATGCGAGCAGTTGAGTACGTGTTTTCTGCATGATTTAAAGTGGGTTTCGGTTTAGCCGAACTGAACAGGGAAATCAATCAGACATCTCTACAGAACTTTCGGTGTTTTCTAGTCTTCTGAAGTAAAAATGACTTCAAACAGCACTAGAAAATTTTAACAGGTAAAAACGTCCAAGACACGCCAAATGATGAGGAAACCAAGAAACCATTCGCGAAGACTAACAAGAAGAAGAAGAAGATTTGATGTCAGTCTATCGCTGGAAAATCAAATGATTTTACACGTTGATAAAATGACAGATATGTTTAATACCCCTCTTCTTTCAGTAACACTTCAGGCAGTTCCTTCTTTTTGGTGTTTAATTAAAAGATACAAACTGAATGCTGAAACTTTCATTTTAGGTAAAGGAAAATACAAAATTCAATGGTTAATCCTTAAATTCAAGTTTTGAATGTTAATTTGTATCATATTGACTTTTATTGTATTAGCACGTCCCAGTGAAAAATAACTTCATATTTTTCTGTTACAGTTGCTAGGTCATTTCTGTGCAGAACTTTTGTGCAAACCCTGTGGAAACGGAGCGAGCAAGAACTGAGCAGTGCTAATTAAGAACTATAAATATATATCCAGATATAAGCAGCGGAACGCGAACAATCTACTCGCATAGATTAAATAAAAGTTTCAATTCGAATGAGGTTACCCGGATGGGCAAGCATCTGATTAAGGCCAACGTTGTGATAATGAAAATAAAGATTAGTATTATAGTTTGAGTGTAAATAATGTAAATAAAGCTGGCTTATGTTCATGGCATTTGTCTTTGATGCTGTTGTGCTTAGAGAGTGCTTAGTGGTGATATACATTGGTTTTGTATCTCTTTTGTCTTGGCCAATTAAGAACATTCAGAGTCTAGTTGTTCTGTTGTTTCTTTTTGTTGGTTGATGTACCTACCTACCGACTACTTGACCCGGGTGTACGCTCCCGGGTTAACCACAATAAACCCGACGTTCTGCCACATCACGTCTCAGTCGGAAGACGAGGTGAATATCATATTTACCTACCTACCTACCTATTTGTCTAAGTTCCACACAAGCATCATCATCCCACAAACCACTGTTTATTGATTTGTCTTTGATGCTGTTGTGCTTAGAGAGTTCTTAGTGGTGATATACATTGGTTTTGTATCTCTTTTGTCTTGGCCAATTAAGAACATTCAGAGTCTAGATGTTCTGTTGTTTCTTGTTGCTGGTGGCATATCATACAAATTGGGTTGGTGTCATATTATTATTATTGAGTGGTAGAGCATAGTGCCAACAAAGTGACGCTGGAGTACAAGTGATTTAATGAAAGTAGCATACAACCTTGCAGGTGGGACCCAATTAGAAATACCTTCAGGTCCGGTAATACAGTCAAATCCAACTCCAACTAAGGCTATTCTCAAGGATCTAGATGGGTAAAAATCCAAAAGTTTCAACAAATAGGAACCTTCATGAATCTTAATATATATATATATATATATATATATATATATATATATATAGCTTTGAATGAAAAATTATTATCATTTAATTTGTTGGTTCGCACCAAATATCTGCTAGTTATATCTGTAGATTGGCTGCATCATCCCTCAAACTTAAAAAAGAAAAACCGCTTGACATCCTGTCATAATGCACTCCCACAACTCTCTCTCTCTCATGAACAAAGATGCCCAATGTGCCAGCCACTGAAGGATATGACTCAGTGGTAAAAGGCAGGCAACTAACAAGCAAATATACGGTACTGAACGGGATATTATTATTATTATTATTATTATTATTATTATTATTGCATGTGATTCACTCATTATCGACTGGTGAGAATCGGATTTCAAAAGCCAAACGCTGACATTCAATGGTTTTAAGTTATTTGGTAATAAAATCATTTTTGTTAAATGAAGTCCACTGTATTGTTCCGGAATCTCTACAAACCTATTGGTATTCACATCAGCAGTTCAGAAAATGAGCTTAAAAGAAATGTTTTAAATTACAATTTCTTGATTGACAATTGCATAAAACAGATGTGGTCGGTCAAGGACTTCTTTTATAATTATTATTTTGTTCCGTTGCTTACCTGATCTCTTTAAGAAGGACTCCGTACAATTTGATCATGCTGAGAACCATATGCATTTGTTGACAAGGCACAATTTGGTGGCACTGGAGGGTAACAAAGTTCAGGCTTGGTGGGAGAAGCCAATCAAAAAGGAACTGAGAAAAACAAAATAATATTTTAGTTTTATTGATTTCTTTAAATAAATAAAAACGGATGAAAATGGGAACGCAGGAATTGTCACAGTTTATTTAATGTGAAGCCAAAATGAGTCTAACAGTGGGTTCCTCACTGTACCTACCTACCGACTACTTGACCCGGGTGTACGATCTCGGGTTAACCACAATAAACCCGACGTTCTGCCACATCACGTCTCAGTCGGAAGACGAGGTGAATATCATATTTACCTACCTACCTACCTACCTACCTATTTGTCTAAGTTCTACACAAACATCATCATCCCACAAACCACTGTTTTGTGGAAGCGACTCCCAAGAGGATACTTCCCCGAAGACTAACTAAAACTAATCGTAACCTGTTCAAAACTAGAGTCAATCTTTATCTCCCGCACATATTCCCCATAAAGTATACCTTTGAGTCTGTAACCCTCTACCTCGAGTTGCTCTTGAACCTTATGCAGGTTGAATGTCATTGTAAAAAATCTATCTCACACTTTCGGTTTCTCTATCTATCTACCTCAGTATTTTGTTCTCTATCTCTCTCTCTCTCTCTCTCTCTATCTCTCTCTCTCTCTCTCTCTATATATATATATATATATATATATATCACTATTTCATTCTCTCTATCTCTCTCTAACTTTCTATCTTCGCTCTCTCTGTATATCTATTTACTCTCTCTCTCTCTCTTACACAAACACTTTCTGTCTATCTTAGAACCACATATACGCTCACTAACACGAGAGTGGTTCATGAGAAATAACGATTTGCCGAATTTCATCTAGAATCTTTACAGTATATTGTTCGACCCATGTGATTAACATTCATCACTAAACTAAGTGCATTGACAAGGAAGGGGCTCATGTTAAAATATATATTTACGCTGTGTAAAACAAACACTTTTTCATTATTAGGCTCCAGACATATATATATATATATATATATATATATAGAGAGAGAGAGAGAGAGAGAGAAAGAGAGAGAAAGAAATTAAAAGGAAAGAGATGAGAATGGGAGGCAAACAGACAAGCAGACATAAAGTAAAATTGCAGCATCCTTATGGACGATGACGATTTTCTTATGGACGATGACGATTTTAACCTGGTTGAAGTATATGCAAGCTGATAGATATATATTCTGATCGTTGTACATTATATAATGCAGTACCTAGATTACGTGCTCTGCGGTAATTTGACCACGTGTAAAACTGACTTGTACTTTTTATAACATCACTGCAAGTCTCCAGATATATTAGAGAACATATTCCCATACAAATAAAACAAACTTTAATACTCTCTGTAGGATTCGCATTCGGGCTGAGGTATTCAAGTTGGGAAACACGGATAGACCTGCTCAAATCTTAAGATAAAACAAAATACAAAGTTCGACAGAAATACCTCCCACAATTTAAACTGTCACCTGTCTGGTGCTAGTCAACTTAGGCAAATGGCAATGATGTGTTAATCTAGCGAATGTCTTACTATTCTTTTTCAGATACCATCAGTTATAATCATGACTTAGACTGATGCACATCCTGCGTTTGCTGGTGAATCTGTAATTGCAACACAAAGAGCTTTTTTCCTGCTCATTTCATGTTACATCGGAATGATGCTGTTCCGGATATAAAATCGACACTGATACGGGTTGAAAATTTCAGAGCCACACGTTCAGCACTTAAAAGGAAGCTACCTGGAAGACCTCGAAGCATTGAAACTTCCAGGTGATGGCAAACTTCAGAAAACTTTTACAAAAGAAAATAGAATAGAGGCCACCATTTGAAGGATGTCATTTGTAAAATCAAATGAATAAAAATTGGGTCCCTTCCTTTAAGCAGCAGTGAAATAAATTTGTTAATAGCGGTTAACTTGGGGTTTTTGTCACTCTTTAAAATATGGGAGGTATTTCTGCCGCATCCTGTATAAGATCGCTCCAAAATTAACAGTTAAGCAATAATGTCTCTTTGATATTTATGAGCTGAGTTGATAATTAAAGGCTCAAAAGTTGGATTATTGAAAGAAATTTATTTTAAAATACTTTGACTGTTTCTTTCTCAGCATCCGTGAAACCATGCAGATTTTGCTGCATCCATGACCAAACCAATGCATTCCATCCTAATTGTGCCGGGTCCATGTATATCATCCCACATCTGAAATATGAAATTAAAAATCGCTTTTACCTGAAAGTGATATGCGTTGCTGTTAGTATTCAATAAAACTTTTGGTACAATTTTCTTGAGTTGGTCTTAATGTTATTTAAAAGGAAAATGATCCGATGGGATTGGATAAAAGCTTTAAATTATTTATATTACGGATTTTACTAAGTATTTTTTTTCCTTTTCAAATTCATTACTAATATACCATGACTCTTCCTTCAGTCTTCCACTGTATCTATTAAAACTTTGGGCAGTGGGGGTGGTGTAATGATTAGAAAGCTTGTCTCGCTAGAACAATTACGACTGAGTAGTGAGTTCAATCCTCACAAGGTTCCTCCTACTCTTGGCCTTGTGCCACATCTAAGCTACGCTTGAAAAATTGTTATTAATACTCGACTACTCTATATAGGCTGATGCAAAGGTTTTCCAGCATTTTCTTTGATAAAATATTTTATTTATATAAACCCATTACGTCAGATTTTTTCAGATAGACTTCTTGCGAATTCCACGACTGTAAAATATCCGTAGAAATTCCCCTATTGCATCGTTAAATATTTGAGCTTAACAACGTTAACAAAATATTGTAACAGCAATAATAAGTATGAATGCAGGTCATTATTTAAACAAGTAAGAGGGTACAATTTTTTTTTGTTTTGTTTTTTGTTTGTTTTTTTTTTACATTTCATTGAAGCAGACGTTAAACGCATGAGCGTTATTGTCTTATCTATCTTTTCTTTCTTTCTTTTTCTTCTTCTTCTTCTTTTTTTATTGTTATTGCTGCTATTGTTATTGGGAGGCACGACGGAGTAACGGATGGCGGCACGGATTGAGGAATCGGAGAGCCGAGTTCGAATTCCAGTCGAATCCATTACATTCACTTACGTGCTAATACCCTAGGGAAAAGTATGAATCCTCCTCTTCTCACCCCCCCCCCCAGCTATGGGTAAATAACAGGACAGACTGGGTTCTATAGCCTTGGATGGTAACTGGTCTACCGAAAAAAGAAATGTTATGGCAACCTTTTCGGGGAAAAAATCTGCCTCGTCAGTCATATACCGAAAGATACATGATCGCCTAAGCGTATATCACGCATGGCACATAACTGACTGATTATTATTATGTATGTTTCCTTTTTCTCACTAAAACCAACCAGCGATCCTGTTATGGCTTTTTATTCCGTTTTCATCATTTGATTTAGTTCCTTATTTATCTTCAACAATGGCAGCGCAAAACGCACATGCTGGCGAACTTACTGACTAACGGAGGAACAAATAGGATTGTAAAAATGATTTGCATAGAAGTAAGACGATTTTTTAATCTTTGAAAGGGACTAAACGAATATTAAGTGGTAAAGACAGGATTTTACTTGATTGCCCAATGTTCAAATATGTTACTCACCTGCTAATGGTGGCTGGCGATGCCTGCTCTAAATTATGAACTTCAAACATTAAATTTTGCCACTTGCTCATTTGAATGATTTCACCACTCATCAGGCAAAGCTAAAGTAAAAAGAAAAAAACAATATTACGTTATTTCATTTGTAATGTATTTAGCATGGGTTGGTGTGTTTTCTTCTCTTTCAGTGATTATTGCTTAGCTAAAATCAGCAATTATTGCTTAGCTTAAATCTTATCACAGACTTTGTATATATCATTATTAACACTAAAATAAAATAATAATTTCTACAGAACATTTTTTTTAAGTTTTCTTTAAACAAATATGTGTATTGGATATTGTCGGGATTCACCTCCATCTAAGTCCGTACGTTCTACATAAAAAAAAGATTTGACTTCCAGTAATTAGTGGGTGAATAGGTTGAGGCTCTTTTTTATCACAGCCTAGTCACACCCAACCTTCAATATCTCTGAAATCTTGTTTTCAATTGGTTTTTATGTTATATCTAGGGCCCTATCCTGATTTAGCTGTAGATTTTAAAGAACTGATTCTGATACACCTTTTCCACACAGTACGGTGGAGTGATGGCTAGCGGTTCGGATTTGAGGATTCCAGACGAATCCACTGCATTCACTTACGTGCTGATACCCTTGGGAAATGTATGAATCTTCTTCTTCTCTCCCCAGCTATGGGTAAATAGCAGGACAGACCGGGTTGGATGACAACTGGTCTACCGCAGAAAAAGAAATGGCAACCAACTGCAGGAAAAAAAATCTTCCTCGTTAGTCACGTATCGAAAGATACATGATCGACTAAGCGTATATCACGTATGGCACATAACTGACTGAATGCCCAGAGCCATTAATGCTATAAAAATCTCATACGGAATGCATCTATCTGCCTTTCGCTTCGTCATAACAGTTTTATAATATTTTAATATATTTTTAAGCCTTTATTAAGAAACACTCTCAAAATATCTACTGTGGTTATATTGCAAACTACTGATATGACCAGAAAGTTCTTTTTATTTCGTATGAAGCCATTAATATCAGCTAAATTTGAAATTAGTCCACTTCTTTACTTTTTCTTTTTTTCTTCTTCTTCTTCTTCTTCTTCTTCTTCATTAGTTCATGTAGCGCATTGTGCTGCTATTGCTCTTGCGATGATCGATGATTTTATGTATGAGACAGGTTTGAGGTTTATCGTGGAGAATTATAAGACCAGCATTTTTCTTTATAGTGAATTCATTTATCTACTGATCAGATTGGTTTCATACGAACAAAAAAAAGCATTTTCTTGTTATTGGATCTGATGAATTAATTTATTAGCCTTTCCTGAAAAATTCCAAAGCACCTTCTTTATAAACGGGTTTGTCTTTGATTCCAACCTAAAGACGCCTATCTAGAACCAGAAGGTGAAATGTGTCGTCCATCAAAATCTTTTCCACTTTATTTACATTTTTAGTTTGGATACTAGTCTACACCCTACTAACACCTATTCATGAATTTCTAAAATGGCAAGGCGAAGTGAATGGGAGAAAATTTGAGCTGCTTGTTGCAAACTTACTTTTTTATTGTCATCCAAAACTGTGTTCATATTCTCTATCCACACTGCGTCAACAGGCCCATCAAAGACCGTCCACTTCCGGGTGACATTCACACTTGAAGCGTGCTCGCGAAAGGTATTGGCCAAAACACCTGTAATAATAGGGTTCAATGAGTTATATGTTACATCTGTTTTTGTTTGTATTTCTGAGATGAGGAATTATCATTATTATACACTGATTAATTGCCATAGTTACAACGTTTCGACCATTGTACCTGACTGTTTCTCTAGATTGACAGAAAACATATGAACTGACTACACTAATCCCGCACAAGGACTGAATTTATTACACGAATCTGGAACAGAGACCGAATTTACTAAACACGTCTAGCTCAGGTGGGGTAACAGATATCAACGTTGAAAACAGAATCGTCGAACCGAATTCAAATTCTGGTTTAGCCCACTGCATTCAATTTCGCTCTAATTCCCCTGATAAATGTATGAATTAGTCTATGCTTCCACTGGCTATGGGTTAAATAACGAGGTAGATTTGACTTTCTAGCCTTGGATAGCAACCAGTCAAAGAGAAGGAAAATTCTGAATTCCAAATCGTAGTACTGACAAGGGCTAAATAAATATAAAATACTAAATATGTCACGGAATAAGGACCTAATTTACTACACTTTGCTGGAACAAAAATCAACCGGAGTCTAACACAAGGACTGGATTTACTATCTTAATTAATATGGAACCAGTACCGAACTCGCGTGTCTGGCATAAGAACGGATCATTCTGCATCATTCTTAAACAAGCAACAATATACGCTGCACGACAATCTTGCTAATCATAGCGATATAGTCGACGCTCTATGCGCGTTCAGTTTTGTTCTATGCCGTACCTATAAACACTAATGTGTATGTCCCAATCCACATGAATACGTTGGACACTATTGTAAGTGGGGGCAATCTGCTGTCAACGCTGGCAGCGTCAGCTGTCAGCGTGGGAAGCTCTTGCCGTGTCGAACTCTCTGCCTTTGGATAGAGAGGAACCCAGACGAGGTTATGCCGAAAGGCAGAGTCTCGCCCGGGGAGGTAGACACATACCCGATCCTGTGTATGCGGGGTTTACGGCCAATTTTTGCCGGAGCACACGGGCTCGGATTTCCCCACATTAAATTTGTCCTTATGCCGCAACCTACCTCGTGGGGAGGCAGTTAAATATCGTAATGTACTGTCTAAGTAGTTCATCACTAGCAGTGTTTACCTACTTCACGCCGCTGGCGAGTATTGTATTTTGTTGATTCTATAAAGATTACCATTTCATTTCCAACTTCCGTTTGGGTTTTTCATCATTCAGTAACCCTTCTTAGGTTACAACAAGTTTGTACATGATGTCATCGTTCTTCTTAGTCTAGGTTTAAAAAGAAAAAAGGTTAATATCTATTTTTCTCGATGTTGCATTAATTTTTTTACTTCGCCATCTTTCTGCGATGGCCAACCCTAAAGATTCCGCAATTTATTAGTGTTATAAAAAGAAATGTTTAAGTAAGAATTGAACATTCCGCTGAAGTAAATTATGTTTTCTTTCACTTACCGTCCGCCCATTCATGAGAGATGGGATCAAATCTTCCATAGAGCTGACCCATTGTTATAGCCTTAGGGTTTATTATTCGATATTCAACCTGAAAATATAAGATTAAAAAAACAGCAAAATGATTAATTTTTCAGTTTTGAATAACGAATACCGTAAAGTTATTTTGAGGATTGGTATATTTTACAACCGTTTTCTCACATCAATGATTACAAATAACTTCAAGCGAATGTCTCCTGTAGGTCTTAAAGAAGATTGCATTAGAATATCATAGATTGACGCTACAGAACCGTATACGAAGAACTTTGCCAAATACCAGAAACCACATCACTTGAAGATTTGTTTATTTTCTACATTACTTTAAACAAAATGTTAGGAAATAAACCAGCAACAATACTAGAAATTGGATATGGAAAGCCTATTTTCCTAAAAAAAAATGTTTTAAGAGAAAGGTTTTAGAAATTTTAACGGACAGTAATGCTAACTGTTCGGTGAATGACTATTGAATGTTTCCGTAAAAAGAAACGGCTTACCTCACCATTACCATAAGGATTTTATGGATTGGTTTTATTGATTTTTGATACGTCAATCCTTTTTTGGGTTATTTGATCTCAAAATCAATCTTTTATTATTATTATTATTATTATTATTATTATTATTATTATTATTATTATTATTATTACAGAGTATGGGCGGACGCATTAGGGTTGATTTGTCAGGCCTCTTGATAATATCGGCCTGAGAAGACAAAAGGTGTGAATTTATAAATCTCTGCAGCTGTGAGTAAAATAGCAAGGTAGAGAGTTCTCTAGCCTCGAAAAGGCAATTACTCTAGAACGGTAATTCTAAATGTAAACCTCGTGCCAAGACATTATAGGCTAGCATAATAGGATAAGGTGTATTACTCCCTTTGGGGAAAGACCTGGATACTTCACAGAACTGAGAATGAAAAAAGGTTAATATATATGCGTGTATATACGAATACGTCGAATGCAGTCTCTTTGTTCATACTGCTCTGCAATGAAGTTATTTTTCTTTCCGTTCCTGTCAATGATGTTCTTAATTGTATGAGACAATCATAGAGTGATAATAATTACACAACGAATGCTTCCACATGTTTCATTATAAGCTTTACGGCTTACAAGTTTTTACATGTCTTTTAGTACATAACTTGCCTGTGAGCTTCTAACGAAACTATTCATTTTAGTAATTAGTTACGAACAACCTACAATAACTATCAAGAAAAATCAAGAAACTCGAAACCTTATGAAGCTTACTGGAAATTCGTCCATAAGGTTTTGGCGATGAAGATCTCCAAGGGCCTCAGCTAATAATTTATAAGCAGTGGTTTTTCCCGCGACAGGGTCACCGACAATCATTAATCCGTGTCGAACAAGAACCATGTCGTAGATCTGAAAAAAGAAATCACAATAAATGAGGAAACATTATTACAATTGAATGTATTTATTAAACCTTGTTTGGGGCTTTTGAAATACTTTTATTCATCAAGATCAGTTATTAAGATTGTATTCACTCATCGCCACACGTACTACCAGACAACTATTAATGCACCTGGACTTGTCTATCAAGCTTTAGATAAGAACGGCGAGGCTCTGGCAGTGGCTTTAGATATCACGAAGGCGTTTCACAGGGTTTGGCGTGCTGACCTTCTTTCACACGCTTGATCCAATCTTTTTTAACAAATCGTGTAATAAAAGTTATTGAACGCCCACTTTTCTAGCTTCTTTCACATAAATGCGGGGATCCCTCAGGGCTCTATCCTTGGACCAGGGTAGTTTCTTATCTACATCAGCGACCTTTTTGATGTCATCAGCTTCTAACTTGGTATTTATGCTGATGGAACATCTATTTAGTTCTGTCTTAACAGTAAGTCCGATAAGACTGACAAAGCAACACTGGCAGCTGCTCTCGAAAATGATCTCCAATCAGTTGTTAACTGGGGCAAGAAATGGTTTTTAAATTTTAACGCCTCCAAAACGAAACTGGTATCTTTTAATCATCATAAAAAGCTATGTTTGCCTTCCATCATCATGGCTGATGCTAACCTCTAGGTGGGCAACCCATTGTGCCTTCTTGGTCTCACATTAAATGGAATGATCATATTGAATCAATTGCTAGGTGTGCTTCTATGAAAGTTGGTTCACTGTGCCGTGGTTTGTTTTTAAATTGACATTTAGATAGTTTAGTTCTTAGCCGAAGCCAATTAAATATATAACAAGGGACACAAAGTGTGTCACCGAAATCCAAAGGCAAACTGGGATAGCGCAAGAGGCCTTCCAAAAGCTGAGCAAAGTATTAAGATACGGGAAAGTTTTGTTAGAAACAAACAAAACAGTCCGGAACTATAATGCATTAACGGTCTTCCTATACAGCCGTAAAATCTGGTGTTGTGGTGTAATGGATATCGGCTCGGGGTGAGAACTCGGAGAGCCGAGTTCAAATTTCAGTTCGAGTTTATTAGATTCACTTATGCACAAATACCCTTGGGAAAGGCATGAATCCAACTCTTCCTCAAAATTCATGTGCAAATCATACAAGACTGTCACATACCTAAAATAAATTTTAATTTATTGTCATATGATAAACTGTATGCAATATATAAAATTTAACAAAGAAACAAAAATATAATTTTGCTCCACGTCCATATATATATATATATATATATATATATATATATATATATATGGTAATATTAACCGTTTCCTTATAAGGAAATATTTGGCATTCGTTGACCGAGCAGCCGGTACTGCAGTCGGCTGAAATTAATAAAAAATTTCTCCTGAAACATTTTTAAGGAAAATAAGGACCTCAAGTCCAGTAGCTGTTATAGATCTGTCCAGTATTGATGGGGAGGAGGGCATTCCTTATTAACCTCTTATTTGAAGTAGTGTGGAATGTCGACATCTTGATTATGCCATTGTTTTCTCTTCAAGTTGCATGTGACACTATTTTAGCCGTTACTGCTTTTGAAAGTCCTTAAGTCGTGTCCTTTCTGTTATTTGGTATAGTTCTTTGTTTGTGATTCTGTAACGCCAGTCCACAAGGTTCGAAGACGGGTTTGGCGCCATGCATGACATCCTTATGAAAGTCTCGATCTGACATGACTATTTAAGAACCAGGTGAGTTTTTAGGTTAATGTTTTGGTTTTGTAACAATTTGCGGTGTTGTGGGAAACTACCACTAAAGTAGTCTGCTCTATGTTAAATTTCCTTTTCTTCTCTACTAAATTTGTTATAGCTCATCCATACATCGATGTATCCGAAGTGTTTAGTATTTACTAATTCCACATACTGAATTTTTATGATGATTTCAGTATATGTGTCATCACTGTTTTCACTCCAATTCAAGATAATAGTTTCTGTTTTGGAAAAGTCTATCTGAAGTCCTATTACAAAAAGTCACCCACAGTAGAAAGGCTTTGTTTTGCATTCGAACGAATGGGTTTTCTGTTAAAATTAAACAGGTATATTTTATTTCATTGCACTGCTGTAGCTATGAGAATTGTTTATTTTCTTTAATCACTTTCAAATCTGGTATGATTGATTTGTATATTGAGAGAAAAAGGGGCATATCAACTCCTACAAAACGAATTCAAAAGATATATATCATAGATCATACACTGAAAGATAAGACGTTTGAAAGAAGCAGCATACATGCTATATTTTAATCATCCAATCAATGTGCTTAAGTTCAACAAAATATGAAGGACATTAGGAAAAAAATTAGAGTGAAAACATTTCAGCTTCAGTGGAAAGACAATTCAATATTACAAGGAAGAATTGTAGGCTACAGGTTTTGAAATTCACTAGAAATAAAAAGCAGATTACTTTAATGAATGAAATAAAAGTTTATCTTCGACATTTCCAAGAGGCAACCAAATGCGAGAAACACCTGAAGAAGGTCGGACAAGGCAGAAATCAAAACAATGTAATATAAAAGAGTCCAGGTCTACGATGTACAATACTAACAAAATATCATCTCGGAATTTCAGACAAAGGTTGACCTTTCACGACTAACTATATATAATATATTTCATATGTAATGAAAGTTTATGACGTATCGTGCCGAGAACAACTACAAAGTTGTGTAAATTGTTTACCACAACTTATTAGATATTCACTATACTTGCAATATTACTGACTAAAAAACTAGAATTTTCAAATCTGAAATATTTGTACAAATTAATTTTCTATGATTGAGATTAAGATCAGCTTCTTGCCAGGAAGATAATTTAAAACTAAGAAAAGGCATCTTGTAAATCTGGTAACCAAACAACATTCAGCAACATTGCGTTAGTTCGTAATGTAGTTCGTATCTGAGGCAAGGAATTCAATCATATTTATTTTATTTTATTTATTTATTTATTTATTTATTTATTTATTTATTTTTGCTAGTATGCATGTTTCTACGGGTATCAGCTTTCAAAAGACTTCCTCCTGCGTCTAAGTAAAAGAACAAACCCAGTAAATTCTGTTTGAATGAAAACAAATTAATAACAAAATTGTTGCTACAGAAAAACAAAGAACTTCCTCTTTCAACCTTTCCCTATCAGGTTGCAGATGGACTAATAAATCAGGCCTTGTTTGCTGAATATTTTTTATGTAAAGCAACAGCTCATTGCATAACAAACCTTAAACAACAGCTGAATTTTAAATTACTATTGTATTTTGAATAAATATAATACGACTGCAACCTTTGCTGACCGGTCGACCAACCGGTAACAGAATGTTTGTGACACAAAGAATTTAACGAATCGTTTGATAAAGGAACTGAATTTATCAAGCAGGCTGTTTCAGGGGCGTTTTATTTCAGTTGGAAATATTCTATCCGCGTTATTTCTTACATTACGTTATAGTTTCAGTATAGACCATAGGCTGGCACAGGTTGGTTGTAGTTACATTATAAACCACAGCTTCCAGTATAGATCGCGGAGGAGTGTCGAATAAACATAAATGGGCCTGAGCTGATGGTCAGGCTCAGAAAGCGACACTGAAGATGAGAAATCACACTGATTTGCAATGTGCCTTCAAGTAGAAATAGTTCTAATGATGTGAAATGTTACCAGCATTTAAAGGCAATTTTCTACTGTCTGTTCAGTCACTAAAAAACGCTGGACATTTTTGCACACACTGAATAGAAAAAAAAATCATCGGTCAGAATGTTATCCTGAATGATTAATGAATTAATAGGTATAACCCCACCCCAAACTTTGGTTTGGTTTAAATAGCAGGGTAGCCAGGATTCTCAATCCATGGCTGACAACCTTTATAGCAGAAGGGCAACTCTGAATTGAAAACCTTATGTGGTCCTGATGGGGGGGGTAACTAGGTCCGTTTAGCATAGTTGCAGCATAAACTACAGGTTGGTTCTGTGGGCGTTGAGGAATAAACAAATGGGCCTGAGCAGATGGGCAGGCTCAGAAAGGTGGAGCCATGTTGAAGATGAGAGATCACAATGATTTGCAGTGGGCCCTCAAGTCGAAACAGCTATAATAATGTGAAATGTTTAAAGACGATTTTCTACTGTGTGTTCAACATCTAGAAAACACATGGAATGTTTGCACACACCTAACTGAAAAATGTTACATAAATTATCGGTTATCCTTTTATAACTAAAGATTAAAATCTTTTATTCGAGAAAAACGAAGAAAATTAAAAGCATGATTTTAAAGAAATGATTTTTGATTATAAAGGTTTCCAATTGTTAAAATATTCCTAATCAATACTTTTCTCTCAAGCTACTGTGTGAGTGTGTATGACTGTGAGTATGACAGTATGTGAGTGTATGTGTGAATATGTATTTGTGTGTGTGTCCGTGAATGCCTGTTACAATGTGTACATGGGAAAATGTCTTTGTGACAGTACGTGTGAGAGCATATGTGTGTGTGAGTGTATTTGGGTGTGGTAATATCTGTGTGTGATAGCGATTTACTAAGCGTAGCTTAGACGTGACAAAAGAGCGAAATTATGGAGTACGCAGTGAGGATCGAACTCACTACTCAGTCGTAATTGACCTGACAAGACAAGCTTGCTAACTTTGAAATGCACAATCTGTGTGTGAAAGAAAGAAAGAAAGAAAGAAAGAAAGAAAGAACATCCAGTGCTGTTCGATAAAATTGACTCACCTGATTTTTTTACTTAAAAATTTTTTCGCATATTGTTTTTGGGGTGTCATGGGTCCTTACCTATAACTACAGAATGAACTCTTCCTAACACTATGTATACTAACGCCTCTCAAGAGAGAGGGTCGAATCAAGCTTCTCGGCTTGACGGTCGAACTCTCTGCTTTTGAGCAGAAAGGAACCAGGACGAGGCTCCGCCGAACGGCAGTCTCGTTCGGGGAGGTTGACCAACCCGATCCCGTTTATACGGGTTCTACGGGCATTTTTTTG